TGTGCTCTTGAAAGGTGACACTATATAACGGCTAAGCTGTCGGGCATATAGACCAGTATGCTTACTGGTCATAGACTACTGGTGGGTACTCCACAACAGCGAACGAGTCTTATCGTTGATACTGGTGGGTCGGCCCTGTTGGTATGCGTCTGTACTGTTGCTTGATTATAGGCTCTACACTGCCTGGTTTCACATGCGAGATACCGAAGGCTCATGTGGGGAACCATATAGACCCGCATTTCGACATTAATAAGAGTTCCACTGCTAAGTGGTTGTCTTGTGACGATTGTCCTGCGACGTTCAGAACGCAATGTCGAGAAGATAAATGCTAGTAAAGAATGGTGATGCATTCTGTTGCTTTCTTATGCGTCGTCAGTTACCATCAGTCGTATACTGAGGGCTCTAGTATAGAAGGGTACTGGTTTGAGGACTATGTTAGTCTGGATGACCACGATGAGCTCAACCCTGCGGTGATGACGAAGTTAGGGTGTCATACCAGCGAGAATAAACTTTTCTACACGCAGAAGGCCAATGGTAGGCGTGGGAGGGTCTTTACGTGTGCTTGAGGGGTCGTGGTTAGGTATTATGGGGATGGCACCATCCAGAGGTGGTGGCCGAACGGTTCTGGAGACTCTCTTTGATTCTAAGGAGAATCCCGTGGGCATGGCGCGGGTTCGATCCCTGGCAGGAGCATTTTTTGCAGGTCGATAAGAGCCTCTTCTCCATGTGTTTGGCTACCTGGGGTGGGCAACTCGTTGTCGGCGGTTACAATGCGACGAGGCATACGTACCGTAGCTCAGTTGTCTCCATCGTGATTGAGGCTTTCAGGTCTTCGGTCAGCTGGGCTCCTATGAGCACCGATCGAGGCTACTACTACATCAGCATTCAGTCGCTAGGTGTGTACCCAGAGGACCAACCCTCTACTGTGAAGGCAGTGACTGGGGTAAGTTTATGAATTCCCCTCCTTTGTGAGGTGTCCTTGTGATCAGGCTAAGGAAATATCCACCGACCAAGCGAGTTTCGGTGATGCCATGGTGGACTCCGGGACGACATATACGTAGAGTTGCCGGTCGGTTTCGGGTAGGACTAATCGTGATCAGGTATCTACCGACAGGAATCTTCAATGGTATA